CCTCGGCCCAAAGGGAGATGGGTCCCCACCTCTCACCAGCACCGGGGCCGGGAAGGGGGGGGGCTCACAGTGGCCCTCGGCCCAGAGGGAGACGGGTCCCCACCTCTCAGCAGGGAGGCTGGGCAGACCCCAGCTCGAGAACACGGGACGGGGATGAAGCGAGGAGGGGCTCAGCGTCGGCTGCCGGAAGGAGTTGGGGCTCTCACCTGGGAAGTGACCCAGCAGCTCCGACAGAGACCCAGAGTCTGAGCACGGAGGTCTCTGCAGCGTGCCTGGGCTTGGGGCTCACCAGAACAGTCTGTGCTTCAGCCTCCTTCTCTCTGGGCCACCCTACGGCCTCCCTGTGCCGTGTCCAGGGGACAACAAACCCGCCTGTTGTGCCAGCGCCGTGCGAGTGTCACTGAAAGGCGGGGCGAGGTGCGGTCACCCCGGCAGGGCGCACGAGGCTCTGCCAGGGGCTGGCTCAGTGGGACTGGCTGAGCGGAGCTCACGGCGCCGGGCAGGAGGGCAGGAGCCTGGAGGTCCTGTCTAAGGAGGTGGGGAGGCTGCATGGCCTGCCCGGGGCAGGAAGAGGGAGACCCCTGGGGCTGGGGGGCCTGGCACTGACGGGGCCTGTCCTAGAGACTGTTCCACGGCTGGGGGCGTAGCACCGATCCTGGGCATCCGACAGCCCGTCCTGCCTATTACTCACCGCCACAGAGCTGGAGCCCAGGCTGCTCCCTCCATCTTCGGAGGCGTCCTGCTCCGACTCCGGCTGCCGGGAGAGCAGAGGGAGAGGGAGGGAGGGAGGTGCACGGGGCTGCCAGGAGGGCCGGGGGAGTGATGCAGCTGCAGCCAGTGCCCACTGCCCATTCTGACGGCACCAAGGGACACCACAGCTGGGGGCAGTCCCCAGCCCCACCTCCTCCCCCACCTTCCAGGGGCTGGAGAACTGCCCACTTCTGGGGAACCTCCCTGTCCTGCCTGCCAGCCCTGCGGCCGCGTGCCAGGCTCCCCGCAGCCCAGGACCTACCCGGGTTCCGTGTGGCAGTGACCCAAGAGCCGCCGGGATCAGGCCCCTGGGATCTGTCTGCTCCCTGGAGCGGGGCCAGGAATACCGCCATGTCCGGGGCACTGGGCCCCGGCTGCCCCACGGGTGCTGGGGCCTGCAGGGGACACAGAATCCCTGCCAGGGCTTGGCCCAGCCCCTGCAATTCCCCAGCCCCCCCATTCAGTCCCTCAACAGCACAGCCCAGAGCACCTCCATGAGCCCAGGAGCTCCCAGCCACTCAGCGCTGCCTCCTGGTGGAGCACCCAGCACGTGTCCTTGGAGACACTAGGGTCGGGTTCCCCTTTCCCGCACGTATCCCGCCAGCAGGGCAAATCGGGCGTTGGCAGCTGCCAGTGACCCCAGACTCCTGCTCGGGATCACCGTCTGCAGCGCCCCCAAACACCTGGGGCTCTAACCCGCTCCCCCACACCCCCAAGACCACGGTCCCCCACCAACACACGCCATTCTCTGCCCATTCACCGGGGGTGTCTCCCACAGCACACCCCGCCCTCCCCCCCAGGGCAGATACCTTCTACCCAGGGCATCCCAGGGGGGCCCAGACCCGGCTCCTCCCACCGCCCCTGGCTACTTTGCCGGGCACCCCTCACCTTGGAGACGCTCTCTGCATCCTCCTCTGCCGCTCTTGGGGGCTCGGACTCTGGCTGTGGGTCGGGGGCTGTAGCAGGGACCCCCTCGAGGCTGCCCCAGGCTGCAGTGCTCTGCCCCCCAGGAGACATACCATCCCCCCAATTCAGGACGAGCTGCCTGTGGGTCTGTCCCCACCACTAGCTGGGAGCACAGGGGCCTGGGGCTGAGGGGGCTGTAGTGAAACAGAGCCCCTGGGGCTCCATGCTGGGGCCCCGGCCCAGAGCTCTCCCCCTCCCCCTTCCACTTCCCCTCCCCCCGGGGCCCAGAGCCCTCCCCAAGCTCCCAGGGCAGGGGATGTGGGGGGCTGCTGTGCTGGGGAGGGGCCAGGGAGCCAAGGGAGCGGGCGAAGGTTCCCCGAGTCTCACCGAAGCACTGAAGTCAGTGACCAGGATGTGGGGCAATGCAGCCTCTTCCTCTGGCCCTGCCTGCGGGGCCTCCCACAGGGCCATGCCGGCCGGCGGGCCAGGCGCTGCTCCCTGGGAGCGTCGCTTCAGCCCCACGTACTTCTCGCCCTGTGGGTCAGATCAGAGCATGTCACGGCCTGGCGCACCCACGCCCTCCCCCTGCTGGGCCCCGGGGATGCCCACCCCACAGAGCCCTTCCCGGGGGCGGGGGCTGAGCTTAGACCAGGAAATGCCCACACTCACTTCCCCTGCCGGACCAGGGCTAGCTTCTTCCCAAGCTCCATGAAGGCCTCGTGGGGCTGAGCTGTGGGGACAAGGGCCGGGTCACGCAGGGCAGGGCCTGTTCAGACCTCCCTGGGACGGGGACTCCTGGGGGTCACCCACAGTCCCTTCGCCAGTGGGGCCCCGTCCAGCTGCCCCCATCCAGGCTCTTGGCAGCAGCTGGATTCCCGTGTTCTGGCCCCTTTCCCACCAGAACAAGGCACGAAATGCTGGAAACCTCCTGTCCCGCAGAGCATCCCGGCAGCCAGTGTCACTGCAGCCCCATGGGACCCCCGCCTCCCTAACATCCTGTGGCGGTGAGTCCCCCAGGACAACATCAAGATCATGCCGAGAAGAACTCCCTTCTATTGACTGACCCCTTCCTGCCCCATCTCCCAGCGCAGAGCTCCCCTCCCCATCGGGTCAGGCTCTCCGGCTCCTGCTCCAGGCTGAGGAAATGCCTGGTCACCCAGCCACAAACACCAGAACAAGCAGACCCAGGTCCGTCTGCGCAGGGATAAAAGCCCCATGGCTGTGGCTGGCCCAGGTCATCTGACTCGGGCTCCGGAATGAAAAAATCGCCATGCAGACGTTTGGGCTTGGGCTGGAACTAGGCCTGGGAACCTCCCACCCCGCAGGGCGCCTGAGCGTCTACACGGTGATTTTCAGCCCCGCAGCCAGAGCCCCGGCCAGCCGCGGGGTTTTAGCCCTGTGTAGATGTAGCTCCGGGGGCCAGAGCTAACAGCTGGGGGCTACGCAGCACCGCACCGGGCCTCTGCGCAGCGCCCAGCAGGACCAAAGTGAACATGCAGCTAGCATGGGACTGAGCCCCACGGGCAGGCAGGGTCACCCCACCCCCCACAGCCCCAGAGCCCCATGGGCAGGCAGGGTCACCCCCCCGCCAGCCCCAGAGCCCCACGGGCTGGCAGGGTCACCCCCCCCACGGCCAGCCCCAGAGCCCCCACGGGCTGGCAGAGTCACCCCCCCCCCCCACGGCAGCCCCAGAGCCCCAAGGGCTGGCAGAGTCACACACACACACCACACCCCCTGCAGCCCCAGAGCCCCACGGGCAGGCAGGGTCACCCCCCCGCAGCCCCAGAGCCCCACGGGCTGGCAGAGTCACCCCCCCCA